AAGCTTGTTCTAAGTAGGTGCTTTAGACCACTGAGCCATCTCTCCAGCCCCTGTGCTTCTCTCTTGAGGGCCCAAGCTATATTCTGAGTGTGTACATTTTATTTATTTATTTATTTATTTATTTATTTATTTATTTATTTTTCAGAACCGGGGATTGAACTCAGATCCTTGCATTTGCCAGTCAAGCACTTATCCTACTGAGCCATCTCCCCGGCCCCGTGTGTACGTTTTAAATACTGCCTGAGAAACCTCTTCAAGACTTTCTCACTGACATGTCAGAAAAACTATGACCAAAACCAATAAGACAAAAACTTACCCCATAGGTTGGGTGAGTTGAGGTCCTATTTCCTCTTCAGGGACCCCATCAGACCCTATCTAGTGACAATCTGACTGGTTCCTATTTAACCCAGAGACCTCTTCTTAAATATATTTCCTCTAGAAAGCCATTCTGAATCCCCTAGTTCAGGTTTTATGCCTCTTCTATCTGTTCTCAAGGCATGCTGTTCTTCCCTAAACAAGGGGCTTACCATATCACTTGGTAAAACTTTCTAAATTCTCTGCCTTCAACAGTTCTCTGGAAGCTTGGGGAGGGAAGACTCTCTCATTGTTCTTCTTCTTCTTCTTCTTCTTATTATTATTATTATTATTATTTTAGCGGAACCAGGGATTGAACTCAGGCCCTTGCACTTGCCAGGCAAGCACTTATTCTGTTAAGCTATCTCCCTGGCCCCTATTGTTCATTATAGCCCCCACATAGCCTAACACAATTTCAGGCACAACATAAACATTTATGAATATGCCTTGCACACATTAGATGTCCAAAATATCTGTAGGAAAGGCAAGGGAAGAACAGATGCAGGCCCACAAGAAGATATAGTGTAATTTAGCCCAGGTGGGATGATGTGGTTCACAGAAGAAGCAAGAAATGTTTGGGCTCAGCTTCCATCCAGCCTCCGCCTGAGTCACTGCAGAATCCAGGCTTCCCACTCAGGAAAGCGTAGAAACAGCTTTCAACAAAAACAACAGAGGCCATGTAGGTCTCCGAGAGTACCACCTTCAAAATAATCCATAATTCATGAACTGATGTGGCATTAGCCTTCTTAACCTAGCAGCATATTCTCAAATTCTAATAACACATTTCTGTAATTTGGTGACAGAAGACAGCCGCATCCGAGTACATCACCTGCTGAGTCAAGTAGCCTGATAAAGTCAAGTCTGGCAGCTCTCCATCCAGCAGTGACTTGGGGCATCTCAGGCAGCAAAGGGAGAACCAGGGAAGACACAGGAAGAGGCAGGGAGGAGGGACAAGCATGAGGGTGGCTGCACTGGTCCACAGCCACCTCGGCCCACCGGTTCATGCTTCTCTGCTGAGAACTGGTGACAGCCCCTCCCACCGCAGGATGCAAGGTGGGGCTGGGCGCTGCACCTAGCTGGTCTGCTTCCCAACAACTCCTCTGTGACAGGCCCGCAACATGTTTCACTAGGCAGCTGCCACCTCTGCCACAAGCAAGTGTTCATTTAGAAAATCCTAGGGAGCAGCTAAGAGTCAGGACTGCTTATCAGCGCAGCCTTTACACTACCAAATGGACCAGAGACCAAGATGAGTGAGCACTGCAAGCTGCTCCTGCAGGGACCCTGGAAGTGCTCCCCTCTCGGGCGGATCTCCCTGCCTCTCTCTGACTGCCTCCTCCTCCTCTGTGAGTTTTCACACAGTTCACTTTCGGGATAACTGTCTAAGTTCAAATCTACCCCTTTAGGGGGCTGGGGAGATAGGAGGCTGAGGAGATACCTCAGTAGAATAAGCGCTTGCCTGGCAAGCACAAGGGCCTGAGTTCAATCCCCAGTTCTGAAAAAAAAAAAAAAAAAAAAATCTACCCCCTCAAAGCCTACTAATGGCTTTCTGGGACAGTCAGAGGCAGTGTAATTGTGCAGGGTGGTGTCAGTGACCCACTGTGCTCTGGCTTTTGCCCTCTGCTCTCCCTTCATTTTCTGCCATTCCCTTTGCAGCCCTATACTCCCAACAACCCTCATGCTGCCTAAGGCATCTGATGACTTCCTGCCCAGCGTGGATTATGCCTCTACCTGGTACCCTAGCCTTCACCTGGGGAATGCCCACGGAACCTCCCAGCTTCCGTCTCTCTCTTCCCGTGGGAACACTTCTCTGAGTCCACCCTCTACCCAACTGAAGTTAACTATTTTCTCCTTTGAGCCACCACTTTTCTTTGTGCATGCGCTGTGTAACACATTTGTTACATTATAGTATCCTGACTTGCTTGTGCATTTGTCTTATTTATGCTTGAACCCTGAGTCTCTTCCGCACTGTTTTCAGAGCCCACCATGATGTCAAGGGTACTGGAAGCTCAGCAAGTGTGTGAATAAATTAATGCACGTATGTGCTCGAATCCTGAATGATGACATTCTCTTGTTACTCAGGGGAACCAGTAGATGAAGATGTTATTTCTAAGCCAAAAAATATGCCTCCAGGACCTCTGACTTTCTCTCTGTCTGTCTCTCGCTCCCTCCCTCCCTCCCTCCTTCCTACTGTCTCTCTCTCTCTCTGTTTCTCTCTCCGTCTCTGTCTCTCCCTCCCTCCCTCTATCTGTCTGTCTGTCTGTCTGTCTCTCTCTCTCTCCCTCCGTCTCTCTCTCCCTCCCTCTCTCCATCTGTCTGTCTCTCTGTCTCTGTCTCTCTCTCTCTCTCTCTCTCCCACCCCCGAAGGTGCTGAGATTACAGACATGTGCCACCCCACCCAGATAAGGACCTCTAATTTCAGTGCAACTATGCCTAGAAAATTTGTGAACAATCTTGTGCTAATTTCAGATTCAGCCAGGGAGACAAGACAGTACTTTCTCATTTCTGCTGATCCTTTACATATATTCATAAGTTCAAACCA